CGCATGATACATGTTTTTGCGGAAGTCTGGACTTGTCTTCTTAAAGGTTTGTGGGGGCGGAGGGTATTTCGGATGCGGGACTGGTTTTGGCACGGTCATGAGGTCTCAGACCTTACACTTATAGGCAATGTCCGTTCCATCTGTTAAACTTGCGGCGCTGCAACCGAGGTCCCAGCGATTTCAAAACTCTGAGTTGCCCTCTGCTCACAGTCCCGGGTTGTTCACGGCCGCTGTCCTCGCACCCATGGGCTCGCAATTTTCGTTGGTCATTTCACATCCAGTGAAATTCCGTCCACAATAGTATGTGTGCGTGCGTGTGTGTTTGTGTGCTCGTGTGTTCCTGCCGCACTTTCGTGGTGGCCACAGTCACGATACTCGCGATTGATGCTCCTTTTCAGCCATCGAGTGTTTTTGCAGTTTTGCAGTCTTCGGGGGAGGTTTCAGTAATGACTTTTTGCTTTTTGAGGTTGTTATGAGATTTCTCTCTTTCAACCTTGTGGCTATGCCCTGCCACAGTGCCGCTTGTGGCATTCCAAGCACAGGGATCGTCAACCTGCCCCAAGTCTAGCCTCGTCCTTCCAACAGGAGCAGAACCAAACAAATTTCCCATATAAGGATATGCCACCCTCCTTCTTTAAACCCCCATGTGACTATCATACCGCATGATTAGCCCTCCAGGAGCCCGCAGCTGTTGAAGCTGAGGAGGAGGAGGTTCTTCTGGGTTCGCAGTGAAATCTGCATGTTTCCACATGTTCTTGGGTCCTATTATTATGTAGGTTTCTATACGATTGACCTCAGTCTCTTGAAGCTGAAGGGCTTGACTGCAGTTTGGAAGAAATACCCATCTACAGGATTTCCTGCGCCCTGCATCTTATCCCCGGGATTGAAAGCCATAAGCCCTAAACCCTTTCCTTCCTCGAGTACAGGCCGCGGAGCCCAAGCGGAAAGCCAAGAAGAAGCGCCGCATGGGCAAGTGATCGCTTGAAGTATCTGGGGCTCAGGCTTTAGGACAGCAAGGTTTAGGCTTTATAGGGTTTAGGGAAGTTCATGAACAAATGCCAGGGCCAAGTTTGCATTGCTAGATTCTGTCTCGCATCCATGGCAGAATGAAAGTGAAAGTAGGTTACATCTTTCAGGGCTCTTGGTGTTGCGTCTACAATGAAGTGTAGAATGTAAAGCATACGTGACATCAATGACAGATGCTGCTCGAATCATTCTGGAACGCAGACGGTCAGCAGGACAAAAAGGTATTGTGCACCGCGCATGCCGTAACCCTAAACCCTAAGGGACCATTGTGACCCTAGCGCCCGTATCCAGGTCAGCTTGTATTTCGGGAATGTGAGCTACTTTCGTTAAGGGTGGGTACAACAATATATGCCCAAACAGGAACCCATGTCCATCAATCATATGGGACAAACTCACTGTAGCCCATGTTTGCTTTGTGAAGGTCCCCGCATGACATGCTGAATTCTCAAACACCTCATGGTCTGAGGCAGGCTTGAGGTCTAGGTGGGAAGCTACGACTCTGGAGGGGTTTTACCGCGATCGAGCTTTACATGTAGACAATTAGTCGATTCTGAAGTGGACCCCAAGAAGCGGAGGCGTTCTTGTTGATGTTGAAGGTTCTTCACACCAGGAAGTCTAGAACCGTCAGAAGTCCTTGGTATCGCTCTGTGTGCCAGTTTAGTCGATCCCCGAACGAAAGCCGCAAACAGTGTTTCATCAACCAAGGAAGGACCCATGGTTGACAAACCTTCACATCCAACTGGCCCAAGCCCTGTAATTTTACATAATCCTAAGAAGTAGCCCACTGTAGTAGGTACGCAGACACGATGTTCCAAGCCCCGAAGCCCTCCAACATAATTTCAATCCGGGCTTGGGATTGTACATTCTACAGTTGATGAGCGGAATCCCGCATGACACATCACATAGAACTGCAGTGTCCAAGAAGTTTCCGTGTTGGGGTAGCCGCAGCAAGAATCAAGAGAGAGGAAAATCTTGCATTTTAGGCACTTCGGGACATGCAGGATTTTCGTGCGGACTTTGTCCATCCCTAAACCCTAAACAGGTGCGACCCACCCTTCAGAAGCCCACGCGTCCCTTCCGCTGTACTGCGCAGCTCCTCCGAAGCGTGCCCGTCAGTTTGAGTTTAGGCTCAGGGTGTACAGGGTTATGGGTTTATGGTTTTTTTACTCGTAGGGTTTAGGGGTTAGAGGTCCCGGGGGGGGGGCTCTGAGGGGAACGGGCTAGACTTGAAGTGAAGGCCTTGGGCGCAGGGTTATAAGAAAGAAATGTAGGAACTCCAGGCTGAGGCGATGGGTTTGGGTGTAGGGTTTGGGTTTAGAGTTTAGGGTTTAGCGCTACAGTACGGGGGGTTTGGGCCCCTTTCCATGAGATCCTTTGCCTTTTTCTCACAACCAGTCCGGGAGCAGAAAGGCCACATATACCGGCTTCGACAACCTGGCACCAGCAACTGAATGATGCGATGTTTTGTGACAAATCTCGATGTGGCTAATTTGTTATTGACTAAAGCCCTAGATCACATAGTCCCCCTTAAGTAGATATGGTATGGTTTTGGGTATATTATCATAAGATCCCCATATACCCCATATTCTATCTACTTAAGGGGGACTATAACCCCAACATATACCCTAATATAATATAGTAGTTTCCATTTTCTTGTCCATTATCCCTATGGAACCTCTATAAAACCCAATATTCTATCTACTTTCGGGGGACCATATGGATGGCTGGAACCCCTCCTACAGCCCTAACTTGCTGAATCCTCAACAGTTTTCCTTGTGCGGACCTAAAGGGAATGCAAGATAAAGAACCCTCGAAGCCGAAACGCATGATTCGCGCGAAGTGCTGTACTTAAAATCATTTTTGGGGATTGTGGCGTGCAAGATTCCCTCCATCCCTTAATCCCTAAACCCTAAACCCCTCCTTTTGCGGAATCCCCGCGTGCCAGGAGATGAGGAGAGCGTTTGTGATTTGGAGGCCTCAATATGGGTTTAGGGTTTAGGGTTGAGATTTCCGGCGAGTAGCAGGAGATAGCATGTGAATGGTGAAATGGATCTTTATAGTGGTCCTTATATAACTCCGCAACAGACCCTATCACCCACTCCTTCATTCCCTATTAAGTTGCGGTGGGCACGCCTGTTAGTCAAGTTGGCTTCTTGTCAGGAAGTCCATGTGCATTCAGGTTAGCTAGCTTTGTGACACATAGTTCTGTACCTTAAACCCTCAGCCCTAAACCCTAAACCCTGAACCCTATGATGGTAGTGGGTTGGGATTCAAAGAATGGATCCCTGTAATAGCTCTTATGATACTCATTAACAATTTTCTCTTCGATTCCTTCATTCCCTACAAACAAGCAGCAAAGCAAGTAGGGCGTACTTGCGGAGTGGTACAGTTTGGTCCGATGGTGGTTCTTTTGGAAGTTCTTGCCCGTTGGGGCGTTCTGTCTGTAACAACCGCATCTGGGTTTTACTACCACTTCGCCGCAGTTTAGAGATTTGCAAGTGACAGTTGCGAGTGATCAGCTTCGAGTGTTGTTTTGTTTGCTCCCTGCACAGGCCCAGCCGTTTCAGCTTTCTTTTTTTGTGGGTTTCCATGCGACTTATAACCAACCCTCTTGAGGACCCGCCTTCATCCCACGCGGGATTGGAGAACAATTGAGCCCTTAGGTTTAGTGGGGTCCTTCACGAGGGTTTGGTTAATTCTTCCCAAAGTGAAGCCCTACCTCATGTTCTTTTCCAGTTGATTGTTCGGGTAATATCCGTAAACACCAAACAGCAGTTTTCATGTCCTTTCCCCCGTTTCTTTGCCTTTGGGTTCTCCATTTTTTGGGGCAATGTCCATAAATCCTAAACCCTACAACAAGCTGTAGTTTTATGTGCTTTCCATTCCATTGTCCAGTCTCTTTTCCATTTGATTCTCCATTGTTGGGGATAATCGTTCCCATTCCAACCCTAAACCCTAAACCCTAAACCTTCACCCCAGAATTCAGCCTTGACATGATAGTCTTCACTACATTTCCATTTTCTTCTCTTCTGAACAACACTGGGGCGGATATCCCCCATGACATCCCTTCATACCCATATATATATATATATATGATACCCCCCGAAAGCCCACCGTGGAACCAGTTCATGGCTATCTCCATGCAGATAATGTTATTTAGTGCACCTTGAGAGAATTTAAATGGAATTGAAGTATTTCTTGTAAAGTCTGTACATCGAAGATTGAAGATTAAAGATTCCCAGAAAAGTTTCCTTCAAATCTTCAATGTACACCTTTATTGAATTACAAATTCAATTCAAGTATTTATTCGAAATTCGGTACACCGAAGATCGAAGATTCTCAGAAAAGTTTTCTTCAAATCTTCAATGTGCACCTTGAGAGAATTTAAATTGAATTTAAGTATGTATTTTAGATGCTGGACATTGAAGATTGAAGATCAGGATCCTCAATCTTCAGTGTCCAGAATTCAAAATACAGACTTAAATTCAATTCAAATTCTGTCAAGATGCACATTGAAGATTTGAAGAAAACTTTTCTGATAATCTTCCATCTTCGGTGTACAGAATTTATAATAAATACTTCAATTCCAATTAAATTCTCCAGAGGTAGACAAAAAAGAAATCTTCCACTCTACCATCTTCATCTTAATAGCGGACTATACCTTATATTGAAAACGTCCGGCTCCAAAGCCTGTACCACGATTCCATTAAATATTTTCATTCCCATGTTAAACACGCAAGCTTCTACTTTTGTGTTAAACAACTATTTAGCGTAGAAACATTCCATCGTCAGAATTTCATCTTTCAATCATCCCACTTGCTTGCAAGCCGGCACTGCTGTGGGTGCACCTGGAGAGTAGCTGTGACATATTGTGCGTTGCCACTGAACGTGACATGTACTTCTGACTGACTCATAGCTACTTCAAGCTATCAATCTTGGTATTCCCTGTCATCACTCAATCCCTTCATCTCGTCATGGACGCCGTGGAGGTCAGAGGGACGTTCGTGCTCGATGGATCGGGCGCTGCCTTAATCCATCTCACAAAGTGGGCCGATCAGGAGCAACTAAGCTCATCCACAGACGTGCCCCGACATCATGAGCCGCAATTCGTCGCTAGCAAGCCCCCAACATCAGAATTCTTTCGCGCTGTCAAGGCTGGAACTGTGGTCACGCATCCAACTCGCAGGAACATGACGGCCAGACAGTACTATGTCTTGGTGAACAACATCCAGCACAAGCACAGCATGACGAACTTCGGTCTCGAGGGAGGGTGGTCCAAGGATGCATGGGAGTCTTTGCTCCAAACAAATGCCAAAGCCAAGACAGGACGAGCCAGCAAGGCCGTGCCCGATGTCATTGAAGATGGCCTTGCGGGGGTGCCAGACGCTCCTGGCCAGCAGGCGATTGACAATGGCAATCAGCGAGTAGAGGATTTGGGCCACGGTGACTCCAATCAGAACGACTCCAAGGAGCATATGGGCTCAGAGGACCCAGCGGGCGATGACGTGATCATGGGCAAGAACGGTAACAACGAAGACACGTTGGAGAACGGCGGCTTGAAATGTTATCCTGTTAACTTGTACTTGATTTTATTTACTTTATCGAAACCCAACAAACACCTTCAACAATATGCTATGATGGCTTTAGCGCAAACAAAGGTGGAGTGGGGAATGACGGCGATTGGTGCGCAGAGAACAGCGGCAGTGAGAGCGATTCCAGCCCAGCCTGCCATCTGCCAGCACGCCTGAGCCTGTCCACTTGGGATTGTGGTCCGCGGACATGGCGCGACATGTACCTCTCGGCGTTGGAGATGATCGAGTGGGGAAAGAAGGGTAGGGATGCCAGGAAGAAGCGTATCTTGAACCGTGTCTTGTTGACCATTCAGAAAGCCAAGGCAAATACGGTCAGCTTCGGGGTTTTGACCTCGATCAGTACCTCGGGGAAGGTACCGAAGGTGAAGGCCCGGTGCCTTGGGCGGTCGGGA